CCTAAACCCTAAACCCTAAAAATAACAAAAGAAGCCTAAACCCTAAATCCTAAACTCGGAAGCCCGGCGCCCAAACCCTACGCCGCAACTCAGAATATTCTACGCCACTTCCTCCCTGAACCCCAGACATCAAACCCCAAACCGTAAACCTAGGCGGAACCCGAACGCTGAATACCCTGAACCGACAACCCTAAACACAAGCCGCATACCTGAAGCCCCCAACAACTAAGACCAAAATCATGAAGTGAAAGCCCGGCCTCAAAACCCTAAACCCTAAACCCAAAAACCTTAACCCTCGTCTTCTTTAGGTTGAAGCGTGAAGAACCCTCGACAGCGACGGCGGAGAGCCTCTTCCGCTTTTGTATGGCATCTGCCCAAAGGCTCCTAAGTAGTTCCTTTTGTGGTTTATATATTCAGAATCTTATAAGATAATCCCACAAAGGAACTAGTTAGGGGCCTATGGGTACAGAAGGGTCTGACGGTAAAGTTGTGTAATCGGGACAAAAGGCGCGACTTGGGGGTCCAATGTTTACGAAACCCTGGAACTCTAAACCATAGCCTTTAATCATGCTGTCGTCATAACCTACTGTTTTGGAGGGTTGCGGGCTGCGGGTACGAGTTGGAGGCTCGGTTTTAGGGTTTAGGGTTTATAGCTTATAGGGTTTCGGGTTTAGGGTTGTAGACTAGATTCAAGGTTTAGGATTAGGAGCTCCCAGCGTCGACTGGTAAGCCCGGTATTCCAGCAGGGTGTAGGGTTTAGGGTTTAGCATCTCTACTGACAAGACTTGCACTTAGTGCAGAGCTATGACTAGGGGTCACATAGCCTCCAAGTGCCCACGGCTTCGAGGAACAACGGCGGGAAGAAGAAGAAAAAGAGGAGGAAGAAGCCACGCATGCGATGAGGAGTGATCCACAGCCGAATTGTTTTGGTTCTGGAAGAAATGGGTTTACTGAGCAAACCGGACCATGGCCAGCGCTAAAGCCTAAACCCTCAGCCCTATAGACCTTTTGGTAGCCGGGTCTGTAACCTTCAGCCTCTTCGGGTTCATATTATCCTGGTTTGAAAGTTTATAGCCTTTGTTGGAAAGGTTCGTTGCCAGGCAAGTTGTACTGGTATGTTACATCATGTGCTCGACAGTACTAAACATGGCCGGGCACTGAAACTTGGAAGTTTCTGCCGTGCTATATTGGGGGACCTAAAAAAGGGACCCTACTTTAGAGAACTACCCTTTGGTTATTCTCATAGAGCTTCTTAAAGGATCCGGGGACTTGGTTCATGCAGGATAAAAGTAAAAGACCCTAAACCCTAAACAGCAAGCTTACAGGTATCCTCTATGGGTTTTCCGACTGACGACCTCCCCTGAGAACCTAGCTACTACCCCCCCACCCCCCCCTCCAGGTTTAGGGTTTAGGGACCTTCAGCCGAAATCCGTAACGCAAATCCCTGAACCTGAAAACCAAACCCCTACACCCCCAACTCTACATGCTGTCTACCCTAAACCTTGAACCCCAAAGCCCCAAACCCTGAAGCTTTCCAAGTAATATAGGGGCCTAAATAATTTCCTAGACTATCTTGGGGGCTCCTTATTATCATTGTAGTATCATGTACCCCAATTCCCTATTCCAACGATTAAGGCCGCTACATCCTAAACGCGTATAGAAGCCTTTTCATATTTAAAAGACTTGAACCCCAAAACCCCAAACCCTAAACCCTTTCTAAGTATGCGCCTTCATTTTCTGGAACTCCGGAGATCTCCGAGCGCTACGCGCGCGTTTTGATGCTGTCTAGCATGTAGGCTCCTTAGTAGTTCCTTTTTGGGATTACCTTATAGGGTTTAGGGTTTAGGGTGTAGGGTCTTAGATATAAACCACAAAAAGGAACTACTTAGGAGCCTGTGGGCAGTGTCTAGGATTCATGGTTCAGACCCTAAACCTGGGTTCTTGTCAGGGGGTTTATTTAAGTTACCATATTGGGGATCTATAGTATGTAATATGGTTTCTTTATTAGGGTGTGGGGCAGAAGGGGTTAGGCCTTGGAGCTTATAGCGCTTAGTGGTTTAGTGCTGGCCAAGCCCTCTCAACCCTGAAATCTCAACCCTTAAGCAGTGGTAGGGTTTAGGGGTTCAGGGGTTTAGGGTTTAGGCCTTGAGGACTGCAAGGTTTGCAGGGCTTCTTGGGTTTGGGGTTTAGCGTTTAGGGTGGTGGTCAGGATACCTTAACTTGACATCTAAACAAGATTGCAAGGCTGCCCACGAGTACCCTACAAGACGGTAGGTCACAACCCCATAAGCTTAACTGATGTTGGGGCTTTAATAATTAGAATAGGGTTTCGGGGTCTATTAGACTATAGCTAGAATAGGGAACCCCCCCTCAAATGAAATATATTTTTGCTAACTAATCCTGCCACTTTTTATTAGAAGGTTTTAGGGCTGAGCGTTCTAGGGGGCCACGATCCCGGAATCACAGGGCCTGACCGCTGAAAAAGTAAGATCGTTGGTCCCAAAGGTCGGGCTCATAGGGTTTAGGGTGTAGGGTTAATTGTTAATAGGGCTTAGGGTTTCGGGGTAATAGTTAATATAGGGTTTAGGGTTGCGGGGTAATAGTTAATCGGGTTTAGGGTTTAGGGTTTACAAGAGTTTAGGAGTGAGGACCAGGTTAGACTGGATGAGGATGCTCTTGGACCAAAGGTCCACGTGATGGACGCGCAGGGTCCGAAACAGCTCGCAGGGGTCACCTAGACTAAGCAAGGTACCGAAAACATCGAAATGCACCTATGTTTCAGGGTCATATCCTGTGTTGTGGGTACCTTGGGTAACCCTAAACCCCTAAACCCTAAACTCCAAAAACTCTAGGTAGGCTGGCTTTAGGGCTTAACATCCCAAACACTGAATCATGAATGCAAACCCCAACCTCTTCCACCAACACCCGCGAATCTGCTCACCCCAGCTTCTTCTTTGGAGGCCTGAAAGCCCTGTAATATAGAGGCCTCAATCGGGGTTTAGGGTTTAGGGCTTACATAACTACCAATACAATGTTGGGGGTTCCTTGTACTATAACTATAGTATAAATACCCCCAAAACCTTGTTCGAATTTATTCAGGCCCCCATCTTATACCAATTCTTGCCCGTAGGCTGCTTTTTTTCATTAAGCCCCCATTCTGACCAACATCGTAAAGGCCTTACTATATTACATCTGCAACCTGTGAGCCCGAAAACTCGGCAGCGCAACGCTGTGAGTTTGTCGCCCGGTGTTCTCAGACCCTAACCCGAAGGGTCCAAAGGACCCAAAAATAAGATACTCAGGTTTCGGATAGTAGCTATATAGGTTACTATTTGGGAGAGTATATGATTATTGGGCACTTGGACCCTTGGGGTAATGTTCAAGCGTGGGCAATGAGTAACTGATTATTCTTTAGGCTTCCTGTTATAGTTATAGCAGAACATACCCCCTCTGCCTTATTCTACTTATGAAGGCCCTATATTACCTGTGGTCGTCTCGACTTCCTGCCGGGTGTCTGTACATTGTTTTTACACGGACCAGAGGAAAACGTAGGTCACGGCATTTTACAGTTATCTGCAGGCTAGTGGGTTTCTTGTAATCCTTCTTCAACTGTACGTACTACAGCACGCCCCAAAACCCCATCGAGTTTTTTTTTTCAGACCCCTTATATACACTCCCATAGACCGTTTTGATCCCTGTCAACAACATTTGTCATCATTAAGGCCCCTTTTTTGGATCTTGTTCCCTAAGCCATAAACCCTATACTAGGATATACTAGGCCCTAAACCCTAAACCCCCATCAAGCTCCAGAGCGATCATCCTTCCGAGCATCTTATAGCCTGCAAGCTCACGAAACGAGCTAGGAAGCCTGAAAGGCTAAACTGTTATAGGCTCGTCTAGTGACTGCTTTCAGGGCTCCTTTAAGGGTTCCTTTACAAGGGCTGCTTTACGGGTTCCGATAAAGGCTCCTTTTAAGGGATAGACAAACTGCCTTAGGGTTTGTTGTTTCAAACGCTTTTTGGGCTCCGTGGTACCCAGAGAGCCCAATACCCCCTAATTAAGGAATATACCTTAAATCATAATATTATGGCCCCTATAACTTAGGTATATTCCTTATCTAAGGGGTATTGGGCTCTCTGGGCCCTCAGCTGAGGAGAAGATCCTGCAGTTTCTAGCTCTCCGCACTGCCTCGCGTGTGGCAGCGGGGTGGTATCACACCTGTGTCGTGGAGGCAATGAACTTCAGGGCCTGGGGCTTGAGGGAGTTTTGAGTTTCGGTTTCTAACCCGGGGTTTAGGGTTTAGGGAGTTGAGAGTTTTCTATCCAGGGGTTTTAGAGTTCTTGCTTTTCGTCAAGGTTTAGGGCAGAGATAGAGGGTTCGTCCACCACCTTGCCAGCCGTCCCGTTACATGGATGGTTTGAGTGTTGAGCCCCTAAAGCTTGACCCGAAACCGTAGCCCGCCGCAGCTTGAATTCCACTAACGACGATCTGCTGATCCAAGGCTGATGACGATAGCACACGGCATGTTTATGATGTCTCTAAACCCTAAACCCCTAAACCCTAAAACCCTAAACCCCAAAACCCTAAACCCCTAAACCCTAAACCCCTAAACCCTAAACCCTAAAACCCTAAACCCTAAACCGTGCCCAAACGCAAACTTGCAGGCAGATGGTCAGCTGAAGTGCTTCGGGGGCAACTATGGACGCCAATGCCAGGTTCCGGCTGCGGCTCCGCCAATTATGTTGTTTAGGGTTTATAGGTTTTAGGGTTTAGGGTATAGGGTTTAGGGTATAGGGTTTAGTGCTTAGGGTTTAGAGTTTAGGGTTATGTTGCCAAAGGTTTGCAGACTTGCCATGGTCATGGGCAGAAGTTTTTGTGGCATAGAAAGAGTTGGGGCAACCATCAAGAAGGTTGGGAGCCGCGTGTTGTGATGCAGTGCTCAGAGGGTGTTTGGTGTTCTCCGTGGCTTTGGGGTTTATAGGGTGTGAGGTTCGTAGAGCGCACGAGTCCTTGCCCATTCCGCCCTCCCTGGTAACCCTAGACACCCAACTCCAGAATCACTCCCCCTTTGTCTGCTTAACTCAGCCCTTCATGTGGTACTCCCAAGAAAAGGGCAAACTTTATCTACCTTTCTGAACCCTAGACCACCTATACCACCTTTCGCAAAGCCCATCTAACTCTTTGTGGCTTAGCCGTGGCGAGTGGCTTTGCCCTCTCTCTCCACGTGATTGTCGCTGTACTATGGGCACAGGTTGCCCTCGAATCCCCCGAAGCAACTCCTAAGTCCTTTCGCCCTTAGCCTTAGCCCTAAATCCCGAATCCAAAAACTGTTTAGGGTTTATAGAGGGTTTAGGGTTTAGGGTCTGTCGCTTTACCGGCTTCAGGACCTGGGGCCCGTGCTGGCGGTGGCAGCGGGACACTTCCACACCTGTGCACTTAAGGCCTTCGAGTATTTGGTACCGGTCTCGGGGGACGCTTGAACCCTAAACCCTGAACTGATCCTAAACCCTAAACCCTAACCCTAAACTAAACCTTAAAATTAAGGTATCACCACGAAGGAACTTGATGGCATTTCGTGGCGTTTGAGGGCTCAAGGCCTGTCGGCTTTCTGTAGTATAATACTCGTATGACCTTTCGATTCATTTCCCGGGTTCTTGTGACTAAAAAGCTGCGGATCCGTTGGTTTGGGGATCGGGCATGAAGTAGACTGGCTATGTCTATGTCGCAAGAGCCCCCCCCAAAAAAGGGTTTAGGGCCTAACACCTTGGGAGTCGTGGCTTGTGGGCACTGTAAGTTGTCATGCGAACATGTGCTGCAAGAAGAACTGAGAGGCTCCCTGCGTGCGACATTTTTGTGCGGTGGGACGATGTGCACCCCAAAACGTGTCCCAACGTCCTGCGATCTTTTCGTAGATGGTTATAAGTTCTCGCGGAGATCTACATCCCGTCCCAGGCTCGTGCTGTAGATCTTGGGTGGGTTTCTGCACCTGATCACAAAAGCCCCTCAAAACCCAAGTTCCGAGCCGCAAAGCCGCGAAGCGGTGACCGCACAGAATCACTCCACAGACCCGCGAATCAGATTCCAAGAGAGCCCAACACCCCTTAAATGAGGAATATACCTTAAATTATAGGGCCCTAATATTATGATTTAAGGTATATTCCTTAGGTAAAGGGTATTGGGCTCTCCGGGTTCTTGTGTTGCGCAGATGTGCAAACAACCTGCTTCGCCCGAAACGGTAAAGTAGCAATAGCCTAAAACTCGAGCTTGCTGAGCCCCATGATGCCAGGCAGATGGACAGGCAGCTTGGCGACAGGGTTTAGGGTCTTTGAAGGCTTTCTGGGTTGGTGTATACTGTGTTTTTGTTTGCGGCGAGTATGAGTTAACCTTGCGCTGCTATTTCGCTAGAAAATGTGAAGCCCTGCAGGGCCATATGCCTCGAGCTTATGATCTGTAAATGCCAAGCTCCGGTTCAAGGTTTTTGGTTTTGGGGTTAAGGGAACTGGGGTGACTTGAGCCCGGTAGGTAGCAAAAGACGTTCGGGGTTGATGTTCCCTTTCAGCCTGCTACCGGAAGCAGTCATAAGCAGTCCCAACACAGAAGCGCTTACACCCCTTCGCTTCCTGTCCGGACTAACCCATCCACCCCCGCAGCAACCCCTATATGTCCGAAGCATTTTGGAGTTTGGGATTCGCTGTCTTAGAGTCTTCGAGATGTGCAGGGCCTGAAGCGTCCAGGTTTAGGGCTTTAAAGGTTTTGGGCTTCGGGGTGTGGTGTTTGGTGTAGTGTTTATTCAGGAGCTGAGGCGTTCAGGGTGATCTTCCCAGGATCTTCTGCATGGGGCTGTTGACGGGGCACTTTGGGCAAGCCCGAAATCCGACTCCTCAAACTTTACACCGGGTTTTTTGAAGCGAAACCCCCTTCAACTGTCTACAGTTTAGGATTTTGAGAACTCCGAGCTAGGAGGACTGTCCCTCTGCCCTGCATAGGGCCGTCATCAGTGCGGGAGGCAAGCACCGAAGACAGCCCCACTTCGACTTGCGAGTTTCCGAAAATAGGGGTACCTTATTTTGGGGGGTTCTTAGAATAAGGATCCTCCTTTTTCGGGTACTATATATTAGGGTCCCCTATTTTCGGAAACCTCCACTTGGGTTTAGGGTTTACATTTCAGTTTATTTCACCTTGACTTCAAGCCCCTTTATACCCCCCGCCCTACTCTGTATAATGGATCACCATGGCGGACCGATGGACATGCACGTTTTATTTGGTTGCCCAAGACCCTCACACTTTTTCACAAACCTCAAGCCCCATTCCCAAACAATCCCAATTCAAACTCAAAGCCTTCATAGAACCCTTATCAAGCCCCAGAAACCCGAATAGAACCCTTAGCAACGCCCATAGAAAGCCCATTCAGGTCGTCTGTTGGGGCAGCAACATCTACGGTCAGTGCAAGGTTCCCCGAGGCCTCGCAGCCGCGACCGCTGTGGCAGCCGGTGTGACGCTTGGGCTTTGGGGGCTCCGTGGGGTCGCATGAAGGTTTATAGGGTTCGGTGTGAGGGTTTAGGTTTCCTGTATAGGCTTTATTTAGGGTATCGGTGTTTAGGGATCGCGGTTTAGGGTTTCTGCAAGGGTTCTCTAAAGGTTTTAAGGTCTTCATTTGTTGGGCTCCTGTTTGGGATGTCGGGGCAAGTTTAGGGCTTAGGAGGGCTTGCAGCAGCGCGCAGTGGTCGAAAAAGCCGAGCTCTGAAGGTTTAGGAGTTTAGTAACTAAAGGTTCAGGGCCTGGCCTTCTTGGCGGTTCATTGCTTTGGGTTTAGAGTCTTTTAGAGGCTTCCGGTGCCGGTTCGGTGCCGGTTCGGTGGGTCAGGTGGTCGGGGCTTTGGGGTTGGGTTTTTCAGGCCAGGGTTGAGGTTCAAGGAGTTTGTGTCGAAGAATATTTGTGTATAGCCTAGAGAAGTGCTGATACTGTTCCTTGGGTTTCTTTGTTTCGGGTTAAACAAATGTAATAGAATCCACCTCCAAACCTCAATCTAGTGACATGTTCAGGCCCTTGTATTCTATATTGGATTTTGTACGTTGGGCTTGGCTCTCGCTATATTGCCATGGACTTACACAGTGTCCTCACAGTGAACTCTTCCTCGCAAAGTGTCTGGGATGTGCGGTGGAATCCTAGCGAAAGCTTGCAGGCTTTGAGCTTCTTAGAAAGTTAGCATTTTGTGGATGTCTCCACTGCTTTTCTTTTTACTGGTTTTGATGATTCATCGCCCCCCCACTTCCCCCCTTACGGCTCTCCGAGTACGGATTTCTCCGAGGGTCACACTGGGATCGCAGACCTCGACATCCGAATCTTGAGAGAGTTCGAGCAACGGAGGGCGCTTCTTTGAAGACACAGAAGCCATTTTCGCTTTCATGCTCTGCAACCATTCAAAGTCAAAGTCGTTCCCATGACCGGCTTACGTCCAAGCTGCCAATCCCGAAGCAGAGATCTCGTCCCCACGACCCCCCTCCCACCATGCTGGAAAGGTACAGGGCCCTGTGCAAGAAACAGGGCGAGGTTATGCCCTTTATACTTTCAGAGGCGTTTTTTTTCAAGGAGGGCTTCTTCTCCTAAATCTTGACCCTGTGAAGACCCAGGAATCACTCCTGTGTGATCCTGTCAGACGGCACCCTTGTGTGCTTTGGGAACAACCGAGCCTTGGACAAAGGTTAAACAGTCTGCGCGGTTTAGGGTTCAGGTTCCTTTCACAGTAAGGGTGGCTGTAAATGGGGTTTTTGAGGGTTATAGTATAGAAGCTTAAGATTTTTCAATTAATTACGAATGTTATTCTTATTCCTTACGGCCCCTAATTCCAGAGATTATTCCTTAGGCGTCCTGATTCTAGTTATGCTAGAATATACCCCGAAACCCTATTCTGGCCATGAAGGGCTGTGTAGACTATTTTTGTCATGCTTTGCGTACAAGAATGTTGCTCCCGATGTGAGCGCACTACCCGACTGAACCATGTTGCCCACTGCCACCTGTAGTTCTTTGCGTAGGTTTGCATCCTCCATCACGTAGGGCTGGCCAAGAGTGCAAAAGTTGTGCAAAGCGTCACGCATGGGTTGCCGCTGAGCAGATAGCCACCTACGAAGATGTCGACGGTCAAGGTTGGGGTGGTTTGTGAGCGACACTTCTCGGTATTTCAGCCTCCCTACATAGTCACAGTATAGTAAGCCCTCCAGTATACCGTGAAAACCCTGTTTTAATCAAAAAGGCGCCTGCATGAGGTGCTGGTCAGTGTGATGTTCCACCAGATCTCGGCCCTGTTGCTGCGGTGGCTGCCGGCCTTTATCACACCTGCGCCTTGAAGGTCGGCCCAGTTGTGGGCTCGGACTCCTTTGACACTGAAAATGCAGGGCATCCTGCATCATTAGATTAGAAAACGGTAAGAGCTTCAAAGACCGGAGCGCGGCGTTCTGTTCGGGATTTTGCGCTAAGGGTGAGGCCAATAGGTTCCGGTATTCTGTTCCTATATATGGCATGGTTTGCGAAGTTCCGTGCTTCCGCTCGAGGGAGTGTAGGAGGGAGCAAGTGTTCGCAGGATAGCCAAGCAGGGTTGCGATAGTTCCGGCGTATGTAGTCCCTGAAGCCGAAACCTTTAAACCGCAAAGTAGGAGCTTGGAACGAAGCAAGTTCGAATGCTTTCAGCGTATGGGGATTAGGATTTAGCGGTGTCGCTCTGGTTCGGGGTTTTCGTGTAGTGTAGAGGCCTGAATACATAGACACATATCCCTTTTAAGTCCCGGTAAAGATTATGGAGTTTCACACCCCCGCTCAAAACAAAAACCAAGCTTTTCTTGTGGTCACGGCCGGATTCACAGAAAAAAGTGGTTTCGGTGCTACGGGCAGATGCAGAAGATAAGGCCTTGGCTACTTTCCGTCCTGGCGCCGTCGTGAAGCGAAGCAGAACGTACTCGAAAACACTAGCCCCATCAAACCCTCAAGCCCAAACCCTGCAAGCCGCGTGTCTCAACTACAAGGCCCTGGCAGGCCTTAGCAACCATGCGTCTGAACACTTCACTCCTTTGCTACTTGAAGGACAGGACAATGCGGAAGTGGTGAGGAGATGCAGTTTTCGAAGTACTCATATATAAGTAGGATATCCACCATTAAAGGCTTCAAGCACAGCCTATATACTACACCTGTAGTCTCCATTGTAGTTCCTTTTTGGGGTTACCTTTTAGGATCCTTACTATAGAATTGGTTAAACCAAAAAAAGGAACCACAATGGAGACTATAGGTAGGCCCTATGACTCGGTGTTGGATGTTCCTTGTCTCCAAACCACCTGTGGCCCTGTCAGGCAGACGGCCAGGTCGTGTGCTTCGGAGGCCGGCCTGGGACCGAGCAGTTTGGGAAGTTTCGAGATCACGGTTTAATGTTTAATCAAAGCCCGTGCTGAAAAGGGTTTTAAGGTAGGGCTTAGTGCCCTCAGGCCCTGTGATGAATGTTTTTTCGATTTAAAGTCGAGTGTTTTTTTCATGCAGGCTGAGAGTATTAGGTTTAAAGGTATAAGTATAGGGTCCCCGATAGGGTTGTAGGAATCCCTACTCGTGCGGGTGTGCCTGTGTATGTGTATGTGTGTGTGTGTGTATATGTGTATATGTAGGGTTTAGGGTTTAGGGTCTATAGGGTTCGGGTGTGTGACCCTTTTTGCGTGGAGCTTTGGATTTCGCGTCCTGCACCGATTTCGACCCTCAGCCCGACACGCCAGAGCCTACACCGTGCAAACAAGAGACCCGAAGCCGTGCGCTCTTCGCACTCCCAATCCCAAGTCGGAAGCACAAAAGCTCGACCGCATTCCAGAACCCCCAGAACCCCCCTAGTTCTCAGCCCTGCGAGGGGGAGACAAAAAACGCCAGAACCCCAAAATAATCCTTTCTAGACTCTCTGGGATCCGTAGAGGCGCCGCAAACTCCTGGAAATCCTAACATGCCCAGCCTTTTGGTAAAGGCTTCGGGGATCGCTGCTGCGATGTTCCACCCGAGCTGGGCCCAGTCGTTGCCATTGCTGCGGGCGAGCTCCACACCTGCGCCTTGCAGGCCCAAGACATACTATAGGGGCCTTATAACAATTAGAATAGGGTTTGGGGGCATCTTATACTATAATTATAATAAGGAGCCCCCAAAACCCTATTCTAATTATTAAGGCCCTTACATTACCTCGGCAACCGTGAGATCGGTAACCTTCAGTCAAGCTTAACCCCGAATTCCTAAAACGTCGAGACGCGGATCTGATTGAGATTGGGGGGACCAGGGGGAGCTTGATCAACATGGACAAGGTTCCCTGAAGCAATACGAGGCTGTTCTTGCAAGGAAGTGGGAATTCAAGAAAGAACGCATAAGGGGCAGTTTTGACTGGGCCTCCTGACCCTTGAAACTCCACTGCGAGATCATTTCTCGGCAACGACCGCACAAAAAGCCTGCAACCTGGTGTGCAGTATTGGAGAGAGAAGCTGTGCGAAACCAAGAATCCTTGCATTATGTATACCGCTACTGAGCTCTGCAGTTTGCGATCCCACACCCCTAAGTCCCAAATCGCAAGCCCGAGAGTCCTTCTTCAGGACCCTAAAGCCCTAGACTTAAACTGCCCCGAAAACCGTATGAACAAACTTTGACGCAATCTCACATCTCGGAATAATATCCGCAGAAGATCAGCGGATACGGCAAAACATTCACAATACAGGCCGCAGGTAAGTTTTTTGTTGTACAGACAGAACTTCCTGTGGGAGGAAGCTGTAGGAATTTCGTCTAGGCTCTGTTGGTAGAGGTGTTGGGCAGTCACAGTCTATACCCTGCTGGGCTCAGCCAGTGGCCAGGTAAGTTCCGCAAAATCTTTGCAAAACATAGCACGTAGGCCTCTCTGCCCGTAGAGACTAAAAGCCGAAGACACAAACCCTAAAGCCTAAATTCCGTACAGATTGGCCCTAGCCCCACCAAACAAAAAAAGGCCCAAAGCCTTAACCCCTCCATCCGCACGCAACCCCTCCAAAAGCCCTAGACCCCACATACCAAAACCCTCAGCGTTTGCAGTTGCGAGGCTTCCCCCGCTTGAACCCCTAAACCCTGTCCTTATAAGTTTTTTAGGGTTGAGGGTTTAGGGTTTAAGGATTATTAGGTGGGGGGGCCCAAAAAATCCGAAGCCATGTCTTCCAAGTTCAGATCTCCGAGGTCAAACGTAAGATGATCAATCCTTAGCCCTAGATACACCGCGTTACTAACCCCCTAAACCCTGGACCCTAAACCCTAAAGGCATGTCCGAGAGTGAGTGCTGAAACCCTAAACCCTATAAACCTTAAACCCTGGAGCCCTTAAGCTTGTTGATGTCCAGGCCGACGGACAGCTCGTCTGCTTCGGCTGCAACCTCCACGGCCAGTGCGACGTTCCGAACAAACTGGGCCCGGTCCGTGCGGTGGCCGCCGGCGGAGCCGGCGTTCAGGGTTTCGGTTTGCCTTTTTTTTGAGGGGTTTCAAGGATTTTGGGTTTGGGGATTTCGGGTTTTTTGGAAAAGTTATGAGGGTTTAGGGCTTTGGATTTCGCGGAGTTGGGTTGTGTTTGGGTGGCAAGGCATTCAATTCAAGGCTTTGAGTTTACTGATAGGGGCGACAAAGGGCCTTCGATGCTTTAGGGGCTTACGGTTTGGCGGTTTGGGGTTTGCGAAAGTGTCGGGCTTCTGGATTCGGAGGGAGCTTCTTAGGGAAAGGTGTTCAGGGTTCGATAAGTTGGGTACGTATTTTTTCGGTGAGAGTTAAAAGAAGTTGGGGTAATGGGGTTTCTGAATTTTGCGGGTCTTGTGTTTAGGGATAAGGGGGGGCTTCGGGATTCAGGGCTTAGTTGTCTGCGGGTTGGGACACACAAGGGGTTTGGGATTTACGGGTTTATGTTTCTTCGCGACTCGATGCTGTCATGCGGGTGTGTACGGCGTAAGAAAGCATTGTCATTTCCCAATATTTCCCACACACACTCTCTCTCTCATGTGCAGATTCGCATATCTGCAAAAATTAGCAGACAGGAATATACATCGTTAATGCATAGTTGCATGCATTCATGCATACATACATACATGCATGCATGCATACATTCATTCATACATTCCATTACATTCCATTACATTCCATTACATTATATTTCATTACAGTACATTACATTACGTTATATTACATTATAGTATATGACATTACATGACATTACATGACATTACATTACATAACATTACATAACATTACATGAAATTACCTTAAACTAAATTAAATTACATTACATTACATTATGTACGTACATATACCCTACATACATCCGTGCATACGCACGTGCATACATACATACAGACAGACAGACAGACAGACATACATACATCCGTCCATCCATCCATCCATCCATCCATCCATCCATCCATCCATCCATCCATCCATCCAGCCATCCTTCTTCCCATCCATATGTATATATATATATAGAGAGAGAGAGAAATGTACATAGATAGATACATATAGATATAGATATAGATATGGACATGCGTGTTCCCTTGGAGTACGAGTCGTGTTTTTCCAGCTGCTTTCAGGAGCGCAGACGTGTGCAGTGAAGACCAACGGCGAAGTGGTCTGCTTCGGCTACAATCGCTACGGCCAGTGCAGCGTACCGCCAGATTTGGACACTGCTGTGTCCGTGGCCGTGGGCTACCCGTCTTGATTTCCGCACTGCTCCCAGACCCACATGGAGTTTGCTGCAATGTATTTGCATGTTCCGTGCTTATCTTACAGTACGTTCGTTTGAGTTCGAAACGCAGTGCCTACTGAGCATGGATAACGGCTGCTTTGTTTTGGGTCATGTGTACTGTAAACAATTTTTGCTGCAATGTAAGCCCACAGATGTGTGAAAGCATTGTTTCTGTCCTTCGTCTATAAGAGGCTTGCCGGTAGTATGGTTCAACGTTCAGGGTTCAGGGTGTTGATTGGGATGACTATTGTAATGTATTTAGTAGCTTAGTCAGGCAGCCTGTACGCAATTGAAATGATGCTTGCTTCTTGTGGAGCTCAGCGACTAGGATCTAGAGCCTGGACGTGCACCTGCGGAGGAAGCTGCCTCCCAACACCCAGAAGCCTAGGTCATGAAGCCTGATCCTTCTTCGGTCATAGGCCATTGCTGCGATGTTTACTTGTCTGTAGGAAGTTACGACGTCTTGAGGGACCGGCTTGCAAATCCCAAGCATGAACACAAATCGGACTTCGACCTTTGTCGCCCCAAAAATCTGAGCGAAACCGCTTAAGCCCGAATCCATACTTCCAAACCCTGAGCCCTAAATCCTGAACTTTAAACCCGGAACCCTAAACCTCTACAGCCCTAAAAAAAAACCTCTACAGCCCTCAAGAACCCACCAAGGCGAGGGCCATGTTTGCGTCCTTCAGCAAGACGGCCGCCCGGCCTTCGCCGGGGCTCAGGGTTTGGAGCTTGGGGCTCCTCGTTTTGAGCCTTGTAGGGTTGAGGGTTGAGGGTTTATAGGATTTAGGGTTGAGGGTTTAGGGTTTAGGGTTTCCTTCCCTGCTTTGAAGCGACTTGGGAGGTTCACTCGCGCTTTTAGAGGATTCTAGGCGACGGTAGCTCGCTAGATGATGGGCACGATGTTCTGCATGGGAATCCCCTATGTAGACCCAAAACCCCACGCCCTAGACGGCAAGGGACGGCTTCGTCCGTTATAGCTGATATAATGCACTCTTCGTAGACATCTTTGAGTGCGATGGAACCCTAAACCCTCAAAGTAGTAGCGGTACTTAAACTAATTAAGGCCCCTAGAGTACCCCGGTTCCCCTAAACCTCGAGGTACTGTACCCTGAACCCTAAACCCTAAACAAGGAACCCTAGAAACCCTTTATTTTCCCTTGATCTCCTGAGAAGCACCAGGTCGGGTGAGCTGTTTCGGGTGCAACCTCGAGGGCCAGTGGCTGGGCTAAGACTCTCCGGATTCTTTTACAGCAACTTTTAGGGTCTGAGGTGTAGGGCTATTGGAATTTTTGTTCAGTGCTTTGCTGTCGAGTTTTATAGGGTCTTAACAGGAACAGGGGACGCGTAAGTAGGGTACTTGCAGACTCTTGAACTCTCGACCCACCCTTATAGGATTGAGGTTTTTCGGCCTGGGAACGGGATACTTCACGTATTGGCTTTGTGAGTAACTCCGCCCTAGCCGTAGTTCAACATCCTCAGACACATCTTCGGCCGCATTTGCTTTGTTTGGAAAGCCTAAGGCCCTTGAATCGAAAAACCCTCTAGACACTAATGCCTTAAATCCTGAAACCACGAATGCCGAAACCCACCTGTCGTTTCAGAGCATAGGCCCAGCCAGTGCTTAGAGGGCTTTGGGCTCATGGTTCAAGGCTTAGGACATGTTTTCGGCCTTCTGCCCTAAGCAGGGCTAGACCTGTAAAGTGCAAACTTGCCCGGATATGAGCCACCTCCGTAACCGAATTGCAAGGCAGTGGTCCTTTCAATTCTCGGGGTAGCTTTAGGGATGCTTCAGGTTGCGGGGTTTGGGCCCACACCTGCAGAGAACGCCTAGGTGCGAGGTCGTGCATCCCGCTGCAAAGTGCTTGAGCTGCAAAGCGAGGGGGTTATGACCCTACTTACTCATGTCCGTGCTAGTCCTCACTCTTGTTCGCTTTTGCCTATGATTCAGGTGGTACACATTCAAGCCCGCATCACACCCTGGCTGTCCGACCTTGAATTCTTTTCATGGCTGGACTGCAGTTATTGGGGGTGGTATTAGTTGCCTCGACAAGTATAGCAATAAAAGTGGGACTTTCCGAAAATTAGGGTACCTTATTTTGGGGCCCTTATAATAAGGATCCTACTGTTTAGGGTACTATATTAGGGTCCGCATTTTCGGAAACCCCCCCAAATACGTGAACAGGCTACCGAAAAAACACACGGCCAAGGTGCTATACTGAAGAACCCACCTGTTCGTGACATGATCCTTTGCAGAACGAAGATACCTCGAACACCGAGTGCCAAGCTCTAGACCTTAAGCACTAGAATAGTGTCTGGGGGTTCTTTCATATGGGTATAGTATAAAGTGCCCCAAACGACGAAGGTCCTTTGCTAAGCTAAAACATTATATACACCCTTTCGTGTTTAAGGCCCGCATACAACTATACACCTAAGGCCTAAGAACAAATCCCGAGTTTGCCGGGATCCCCAACCCCCTAAACCCCAAAACCCCTAAGCCCTAAAACCCCCAAGCCCCAAAACCCCCCTAAACCCTAAAACCCCTAAGCCCTAAAACCCCCAAGCCCCAAAACCCCCCTAAACCCTAAAGCCCCAAAGCCCCTAAAACCCTAAACCCAGCAAGGCAGTACGCAGGCCTGGCCCTGTCCAGTGCAGAAGTTCCAGGCTTAGGTCTTAGGCTGAGTTCTTTAGGGCTTAGGGTTCAAGGTTTAGTATTAGGGTTCAGGGTTCAGGGTTTAGGGTGGAGGTTTCAAGGTGTAGGGTTTGGGGCTTTGGGCTTGCAGGTTTTTTTTTTGGGTTGTGGAGTTTAGGACCTACGACACATAAACCGCAGGCACACCTAAACCTAAGTCCTTGCACCGGAATCCCTAAAGAGCCCTTGAGCCCTGCATTGAACCTTTTGACCCCCGGGTGGCAACAGGCAAGGAAGCCCTAAACCGAAACTCACGACCCTGAGGACGCCCGAAGCCCTAAGCCGTAAAGAGGCCCCAAACTCGCGATTCTTCACAGAAGCAGAATTCCGGAAACCGAAGCTCAAATCCTTGACGCCACATCCTTGATACCCTCATTATCACGGTTACTTTTTCTGATTTGTCATTGTTTTAAATTGTTTTATGTTTCTATCATTATTACTACTATAACTATGAATCATCTCCCACCCCCATCCCCCGCCTCTTACCGTCTTGGAAGTCAAGGTACCACTTCGACCCGAGCTCGCTTCTCCGCGCGCCCTGGGAGCTCTTTGGAGCCATGAGTACATTGGGCTGCCTTGCTTGTCTCGGCTGAAAGTCTTAGGCTAGGATTTCTCGAGGGCTCAGGGTTAGGATAAGGGCTGCTTTGGCGATATCATCATCGAGGGGATCGGCTTCTTCCGCTCTTGCATTGGGTTGGGTTCTCAAGGACGGCTTCCTATGGCGAGGGATGTTAGGACATGGACAGGTGCTTGCTTCGAGGCTCTTACACGTTAACTAGAACTAGAACTAGTACTCATACCAGTACTAGTACGAGTACTAGTACTAGTACTAGTACTAGTTCTACTACTACTGCTACTACTACTACTGCTGCTGCTGCTGCTACTACTATTACTACTGCTGCTGCTGGTACTACTACTACTACTACTACTGCTACTACTACGACTACTACTACTACTACTGCGCGCCTGCCACTCTAGTGCTTCTACTGCCTTTGCTTGCTTCTACTGCCTTTGCTTCTGCCCAGCCCTTGCTCATCTATACTCGAAGTCCGAAAGGTGTACTCAATTTCACTGTTCGGTTGCATGAATCTTTCCCTGTAGGTGGAGTAAGACAAGCTTTTGAACAAGTGTGGCTGCCCGTAGGCCGAGAATTCGCGTGTATCCGCAGGAATGTTGGGGCTGGGTAAGTGAGGCAGGCCCGCTAGGCACCCCTGACACTTCAGGAACAGATTGTCCCCACATACCGTCGAAAACTCGGAGAGCTGGACTAAAGATGGCCAGATGGTTAGTTTCATCCTACCAGATGATAGTTTACTTGACTCCCAACCCTTATCCCAATAGCCAGCTACAGGCTTCGTCAAACTTGTCCCAGGGTTTGGACTCAGAACTACGGTTGAGGATATAAATCCTGCATTACCCATAATAAGGAATCTACAATACTTCCCATAGTTTAAGGTCCTTAAGGTAATGTAGGACTTATATCATCAGCAGTAGGACTGGGAACCGAAGAATTTGCCGCCTCTACCCGGGCAGTCCCCAAGCTCTGCAGACCCTGATCAGTGAACCCTCCTTCTTTGAGGATCTCAATATGGGAGTTTCCGAAAATAAGGGGTGCCTGAATTTTGGGATCCTTAGAATAAGGATCCTACTATTTAGGGTACTATAATCGGGTCCCCTATCTTCGGAAACCCCCATATGATGGGATCCTCGCTTAGGCAGCTCTTCTTGACGGAGAGGGGGGGGTTCAAAAAGAAGGGGTCTGCATGAAGAGTCGCAGAAGAGGCAGCAAAGGCTGCCAGTGTACATGTCCCATTGCAGGCGTCTCACGCCCCAGACCCTTTCGACAGATGTTTGCCTAGTGGTTTACCCATAGGCTCCTTAGTAGTTCCTTTTAGTAGTTCCTTTTTGGGATTACCTTATAGATTCTAAATATAAACCACAAAAATAGGAACTACTTCGGAGCCTATGGGTAGAATGGGTTCTCGAGCTCGGCTTGCCAGAGTTGGTCCGGTGAGGGCTCCGAGGGTTCAGGGTTTTAGGCTTTCGGCTTTCGGGGTGGAGCAAGGCGCTTCTCGTGGTTCTCCTTTGTCCTGACAAAGAAAGGCTACAGTGGCAGGCTTCTAAGCTGAGGGGTTTCCAGCGGTCATGTGCAAGTCTGTGCAACAAGGGGTTTCAGGTTCAGTGTTTCTGCTTTGCTGTTGAGACTGAAGGCCTCGTTCAGGGTCCGGCTTTGAGACCTGCGCATTGCATAGCGAGGAGTCTAGGCCGCGCCATGTACAGCTTGGAAGCCTAGGACCCAAGGCTTCTTAGGGAGGTTCGGCTTGCAGGTGAATTTCAAGCTGCTCTCGTGGTTTCTGTTGTTGTCGTGCAGCGCTACAGCTGTTTGTCTTGTTAGATTGTTGATGTTTTGGAATTGCGTGACACTGACGCGGAGAGCCGAAGAGCCGATACTAAGCCTTGAGCTCTCTCGGTACTCAAGACGTGAGGCTAGAGTCCTTGGCAAGGCTAAAGAACCAGCACCTGGAGTAGTTGTTGAAGTGATCTCTGTGGTTTCAATGCATATGTTTTGGTGTAGGGTGGTTTAGGGTTCAGGATTTCGGGTTGTCTTTTTTTGAACTGGGTTTGCGGTTTTAAGGCTTGGGGCGGTTTAGGGCTCCGGGTTTCGTAGGGTCGTTATTTCTGGTGAGCAGGACTGGGAGTCACTATCGAATAGCCGTTGCCCGAGAACCTCAGCCAATTTTGACAAGCATCACGTAACTTCACAGTATCGCTTCGAGTAACTCTTATAGTAGAAATCAGTTTATAAGTAGTGTTACCTATACTACCCTTATAGCCCCTAAACACCCTAAATCCTTCCAGCCCTATCGGTCCCCTTATAGATCCACCACACAACTACTCCCAAGTAGGTGCAGTTTGCCCTGCAGAGATGCAGACGCTGCCGACGTGCGGATGGCACAAAGGGAGATCAGGGCCTCCATGGGAAACATCAAACCTCCGCTTAAAGAATGTACCAAGATATAAGAAGATGGTACATAATGGCAAAGAGCAGAATCTGAAACACGGTTTCATCGTATAATGTAAACTAGAGTAGCCCGCATGTAATGGAATTTTTTGATATAACAACGCATCAAGTGGTAAACTGGGAGACATTTTGTCTAATTAACTTTTTCCAGCATTTTTCTTGCAGAGTCTCACACTTTTGACAACATGCCATAAAGCTCATTTTTTACAGTGGAAAGATCTATGCTGATTTGGGAGTATGTGATACAAGGTACATAGGATCAGCTACACGATAGTCTCACGATGTACATTGCAAGGTACATCTTAGAAGTCATGTGATATGATACGACATGTTTTGATTATCCGACTTCGCAGTTGATCTGTTACAAGGTTTAATGTGCGAGAGGACTACATGGTACCGGTATGGTTGGGGAATCAGGTGTTGCATGGTCCGCGGTATATGCCATATGCTGTATGATGTGTGGTCTGTGAGCTGTTGTATTGGCTGTGTGGTACACATCACAATGACACATGATCCATGATGCCGGTACATGATACATGCTTCATGAAGTGTTGTACATGTTATTTGACATGTGTTTTCCACAAGGTTCCCGACAGACGGAGTACGCAGGGTACAGTTGGGGAGCAGCGGAAGACCACAATAACAATCCTAACTTACCAAAAAAGCCTAAATCCAAGGCTCTAAGCCCCAATGTTATAACATACGTTCTGATTCTGAAGGCCCCTATATGCAGCTGTAAATCCTGACTCAGAAATGTGCACCCAAAATGTTTCGCATTTCTGGTGCAGACCGCCCGCGCGTACGCCGACCAGATGGGCCTTGTGTCTGCATCCACTGACTTTTGGGGGTTGATGTCGGGATTTCGGTAGGAAGGGTCTATAAGGGTTCCGTTCAGAGCTTGAGTAAGTCTCTAAATTTTGGCGTCCTTTTTATTATAAGGGTGCCGTACTATTTGGGGGACCGAAAAAGGGACCCTAATCCACAGGACTACCTAAGTAGGTCAAGGAGGTGGGGAGCAGTAGCATCCTTCCTGTTGCTTCCGAACAACAGCGCGGCAGCCCGGCATATTGATTACATGATAGAGAAGCCCGCAATAGCCTGCATAGATACTAGTCTGCCGAGCTCCGCATTGTAGTTCCATAGATATGCCCCAACATCCTTTTCTAGTGTTTTCTCAGACCTCCACACGAACCCTGACTCTCTTGAAAGCATGCCTTCGTCTCCGATGTTTTTGAGCTATGCGGTGGTCAGCTGTGCTTGGTGTATAGTCAGCTCTCCCTATGTTGCGATAGACTAATGTCTGATCCCGGCGAAAGAAACACTACAGAACATGGAGTCGCAGCACGGTCTCAGGCTTTCAGAGTTCTCGACCCAACATGTGGACAGTCGTGAGGTGCGCAGGGCCCCTTGTATCTTTACCTGTTCTTAGGAGTTCAAGGCTTAGTTTTGGATGTAGTCCCTAGTTGTACATACCTGTACCTATATCTACATCTATATCTCTATCTACAACTCTACAGATATCTCTACTTATGAATATAGGGTCTGGGAACCGGGAAGCAGGGTCTAGCCGTAAGCCCGAGGAGAGAGACTCGACCGAGGCCTTCTTTACCTGGAGACCTCTGCCAAGAGCGGCCACAATGCCAGCGTCTCTGAGCTTCCTGGGTTCTAGGGTTCTAGGGTTTAGGAATTTAGAGTTGAGGAATTTAGGGTTAAGGGTTTAGGGCCAGGGTTGAACACGGAATTGAGGGTTTCAGGGCTTTAGGGTTTAGGGTTTCTGGATTGAACTGACACGGCAGAGTGTATCCGCAGTTGCCAGTGTCTGTTGCTGCATGATGCTGGGTCTTCTGGCGTAAGTGTACTGATAGAATCGTGCCTTGGCGGTGTGTGATTTTGGTGAATGGGGTGTTGGTGAACCGCGTAATCTTAGACACCCGAGACCGTCTCGGGTTTGCAGGGTTGCAGTTTTCGGGCTTGGATGTAACAGCGAGCGAACTCGCAAGCAGTACCGCGATCGGGGTATCAGCCTTAGTTGAAGCGGGAGTCTTCAAATTGATATTGAAGCCATGGTTCCCAATTCCTCAACTGCAAGAAGGTGGGTGGTTCTCTAAATGCGGTCCGTATCCTGTTGGGGAGCCAAAGCTGGGAACCTTATCTTGAGCACTACCCAGGTGCAGGAGCTGTTTCGAGAGATTGCCGTGCGCCTGCCGAAGCAGTCCAAGGATTGGCGACCGAATTTGGGAGCCCCTGACCTTTCAGGGCTCATATGGGTAGCTTTCGAAATTAGGGTCCCTTTTTAGGCCTCCAATATGGTACGGAACCCTTGGCCGTAAAAGGAATCCTAATTTAGACAACTACCCACATGGGTAGTCCTCTATAGTTAGGGTCCTCTGATTAGGGGTTCCTTAAAGGGGATCCATCAGGGTGTCTATTAGGGTTGCCATGAGGGTACTATATGGGTTCTCTAAGTTAGGGTCCCGTTTTAGGTCTCGAAAGTATTACGGCACCGTTATAAAAGAAAGGACCCTAAAGATAGAGAACTACCCCTGTGCGGCTTTAGGGCTTAAGGGTTAG